AACATAAAATACAATGTAATAGTAAAAATGATCCAACGGATATCAATGAACGTGGAAATTTACTAAAGATGTATCAATGAAAATAAAAAAGATTGTTAAACATTATGTATTAAATCATCTTTCTGGTAAACTAAAAAGAACATCTCTCAATCAAAAAATAAATAAAAATGAGCCAGGAGTAGTGCATGCCTGTAATTCTAGCACTTGGGAGGCTGAGGCATGAGGACCACCACAAATCCAGGGTAGCCTGGGCTACACAGTGAGCACAAAGACAGCCTGAATTACATGGTGAGATGCTGTCTCAAAAAACCAAAAATACAAAGAAAGAACACCTCTCTGCCCTTTTACTGGCCTACTGAAATCCACCCTCCTCCGACAATGGCCAAGTCAAAAGGCTACAAAGCAGAGATGACAATCCTTTTAGAGCTTTGAATGATACAAACAGCTTGCTGTGGCACTCATGGCATAGTTCTGCTACCACTGGGCTAGGCGTCTGTCTTGACCTTGACACATTCTCAGATCTCATTCCACTTCCAATGCTTCAATAATTAGTGCCGTGTAAAACACTCCTATAATTCTTCTTTTTTTTACTGTTTTGCTACTCTGAGTGATTATACAGGGAATTGAACTCAGGACCTTGAGCTTGCTAGGCAGGCGCTGTGCTGCTGAGCTATACCCCCAGCCCCAGCAAAATCATTTTGAAAAGCTAGGCAAAAGTAAAACAAATGAGAGTATGATAAGCATGCTTCATTTGAAAATCTTATTCTTACCAGTTTTTATACAGACTGTAAAAAATTATGAATGAGAATAGTAAAACACTGATGGACATCACAGAAGCTGCTCACCAGCACTGTAAGTAGAACACAGCTCTCCAGTACTTCTTCAGCTAAGACTTAAGCAGGCTCAGGTGTGAAGCAATGCAGGGAGTCTTGAACGTCCTAGTCAAACCTTATTCTAACAAATGAGTCAGAAAACTTTTTAAAAAGTATTTTTAATAAAATCCTTTACAATGTCGTCCAAGGGAAGAAACATAGGTGGCCAAAGAGTGGCAGAACTCAGAGGTGGTGAGGGTAGGGAGACACAGTTAGAGGACTCAGCTTTTTCAAGCTGCTCTTAGTTCAAAAGCTCTGCATTTAACTGACTTTAAATAAAATTATTGGAACTGATTTACCTACATTGAAGCAAATATGACAGAGTTCAATTTTTTTCTAAAATATCCCTGCCAAAAATAAGTAATCTAAGTTGAAGACTGAATAGAATAACAATTTTCAAATGCTTCTCCAAATTCCCAGAGGACTTTATATCCTAAGTGTTTTGCATAATTATTTCACTGCTCTTTGAAACCCCTGACCAGGCCCATTTCGAATCTCTAGACACTCAGGTCACACAGTTAAGAACTATGCCTGTGTTACAGGGCTAAGGATGACCAGAAATAGAATTTACAAGGTAGTGCTGTTTGATTCTTCTGAATCTTTTCCTATGCTTACAGTCTCACCTTTCTACTCAAGACTAGAAAAGGGTGCTTTCTCATCTTTTTATATTCCAAATCCAGGAAATTTAAATATCTTTTACTCCTTCCAAACTACTGAAAGTGAAATACATTCACAGCCCTAACTTCCCACCAGTAGTGCCTTAATTCAGTCTGTCATAAAGCCAAAGCTCTCTCTAGGCGGCACATCTTTTCCCTTTACATCTATTTAAGAATTACTACCCAAATGTTCTCATTTTAGAACAGAAACAAAGTAACTTAGTTATTGCTAACATCAATATTAGTGCAAGAGTAGTTAGACCATATTCTTTTCCTAATAAATGAAGATCTAATTCCAGATAGCATCTGCATTAGAAAACGAAGGTTTTAACAGCTTGATCAAGCTATTAGCAATGTCGAATACTAGACATGATGAACAGGCTCCTAAGCAATAAACATGTAAACAATTAGAATTATTCAATAGGTAAGGATTCACTATCTGTAGCAGATGTTACAGAAGTTACAGAGAACTACTGAGAACAAGGTCCTTCTCCCAGAACTGTATATACTGAAGTGGTGGCAAACCTACAGCATGTGTGCCACGGCAGGATGTTTGTATTGTTAAAAGCTCAGAAAGGTTGGCCATCACTGGTATATAGTGACAGGGGAAAAACTATATAAGGAACTTAAAGCAAGTGCTGAGGAATTAAAGGAAATAAAAGTTAAAGTTGATTAATAAAAATGGCTTGTTAAGCACTAAATCTTGAAAAAACAAATCAGGTGGGTATGGCAAGGAAAGGTGAAGGTCACCATTACCAAGTCCTATCTAATCAGACCAGAGAGGGATGCCACAGGCTCACTAAAGGTTTTCTTTACCCAACTCCTTAATTTCTTACTTACTTGGACTGCATATATTAAACTCCACTTGGCAACACTGCACACTCTTCACAGAAAGTATCACACTAAACAAAATTCCACAAAAGTAACTAGAAAACAAGACCTATGAACCTTGTTTACAAACCTGTTAAAATTGTTCTACTATAAGAAAAGACTTTCAGATAATGAATGGCATGGTAACTATTCATGTAAAAGCTCATAACATATGTTTATCTACTACATAACTTTAAATGAAACCTCAATTTTCACAAATTCTGCTTTAAAAGCTATAGCAAAACAACAGATTTACTGAAAATTGATCGCCTCCATGAATCCAATCACCAGTGCCCTCTCATTAACATCCTGGTATATTTCCAGTTAAGAAGATATGTATGCTTCACTCTTGCTCTGCTAGTGTTTATAATGCCTAGCTCTATTGTAAACCCTTTCCTCACCCTTTGTACCTAAGCAAGACTAATTCTGCAGGAAGTCTTTTTTAATTGTTCTTGAATTTTCATTAGTGCTTTAATTTAGGCCTTCATCATATTTCATGTGGATTTCTATAAATAACTATCCGATCTCCTCTATCTCCATTCTCTAACCTCAATCGTTTCTCCAAAAACATCTAAAAGTCAAATGTGATCTGTGGTTCCCCACTAAGTACTGCAATACTTCCTGAATTTTATATTCCCTTTACAGCTGTAAAATGCATCCTGCTATCTCTTGTTTTAATTTAATCTTAACTCACTAATATAGACCAAATATTTAAAGAAAACCTATTATTTTCAATGTTTCTTTTCCAATACAACATCCACTGTTTCCCAAGTGTCATTTCTAGGATTACCTTGTAAGAACACAGTAGGCTTTCAGTTCACAATCTGTGATATACATACAAATATTCAGAGAAGCTAGCTAAAAATAGAAACACCAAGCTCTATCTTGGCCTCAATAAATTTGAGTTATTATCTAGGAATTGCAACTAGTCATATGTATTTCCTAATAATCTTCCCACAGTGATTCCCATGCATACCTACATCTGAGAACCCAAGAGCAACTCCTCAATCCGTAAATGTGCTCTTTCATACCTCCCAACAAATGAGTACCAATCTTAGAATAAAAATTCCCCCTTCTAAAAACCTGTTATTCATCTCCTCTCTCATGATCCTCTAAACTATAAAGTTTTCATATATTTATGTACAATCTTTCCAATCACACAAGCACTCTGAGATAGTACATGGACTCTATAGATGAGAAAACCAATTCTGCGACCCCAGGAGATAGTATCACTATTTCCCATATCAGAAAACCAATTCTTTGAAAGCAAGGTTAAGACATTTATCTAAAGTGACCCTGAGTTTGAGCTCATATTTGCTGACTACAAAGCTATTGTGTTTTCTATGGTGACATATATCCTCTTACATATCACTCTCAAGTATTGACTTACTCATCAATTTACAGGTTTGCTTCCCTTTGTAGACATACATACCATGCTCTCCGAGGCCAGGCATTAACCCCTGATTTCAACCTCAACATTTAGTTACTCAACATATGTTTGTTGAATGAAAGATAGCTCCTCCAGACCTGGTACTATTAGTTGTTTCATTTCTTGACTTCTTAGAAAGCTCTGACAGTACTTCTTGCCTAACGCATTTGGTCTGACCCACAATTTTATTGCTGGATTTATGAGACAGTATATATTGGTACTTATTAACAACACGAAAACAATCTGCATAGTCAAAAAGGGGAGAAAAGATTATTCCAAAAAATTCTTACATTAACCCATTATCAAACTGGGGACTTCAAATTTTAATCTTCAACAACGATTTTATCCTGCAAGAGCACACAACTATAACTGTGTGGTTCTAAACGAAATTCAAAAGGTAAAGCTGATTAATAATAAGTGACATAAACTGAGCACTGAGTACTGACAGCCTGTTTGTTCAGCGATCCACTTAGGACAACCAGGGAGCAACATTACCCGTCTCTATCACAGCAATCTTCAGCATCTATCACTTTTTGAAGCTATCCGTAAACACTATTAGTAAGCACAGGGCAACCAGTGTATTTGTGTATAAAAGTAATGTTCATCCTGTCTAATGTTAATGTATCTGGTATGTAAAACATACAGTCAACGACTTCCTTTTTGATACAGATTACAGAGCAAATGTAAGTTCGGCAAAAGTGGCATTTTCCCATTTGCAGGTAAGTAACGTTCTAAGTGGTGGTGATTTTACATTGAAAACTACTCAAAGTTAGCACCTTAAGAATATTACGTTTTAATGTATTAGTTTTTACGGAAAAAAAAAAAGTGGTTATTCCCTTACTACCACCTTTAAAAATAAGAAAAAAAAAAACCCTTTGAAACAATGTGATGTAGAGGAAAGTACAAAGACTACGCATAGGAGTCCTGGTTTTCTAGTTCGGCTACACTACTAAATTTCCGTGAGACTGAAGCTCGCTGGTTCTGTTTTCTCATTTGTTTTCAATATTGTGATACAGCGGGGAAGGATTTGGTCACCTTGAAGGTGTAACCCCAAGTTCTCATTTCATTCCTAGCAGTAAACTCAGTGTTTCTCAAATTGTTACATTAAAAGACTCTGGAATGGAATGGAATGATTCAGCCTCGAACTGGATGGCATAAGATATAAAGGCGTAGGCTCATATAAAGTTAACAATTAATCTGGTAACTTTCCAGAAATTGGTTGATCTTCTTAAACAAGCAAATGCAGTCAGACTGGACATCTCCATACACAAGATTACAAAATGGCACTGCTCTGCTGAAACCTCCCTAGGTTCCAGGGGCACACACTCTGCAAGTGTTAGCAAGCAAAGTGGAAAGAGAACCAGCGAGCATTTCCACAAACCACAGCTCAACCCTGTCGCTTCGGTAAGAGCCGACAAGGCCTACATCCAGGAGCAGAAGCTCTCACCCCCAGAGATGCTAGCGGCCAAAGCGATGAATGCTTCCGTCAACAAGACACATTCCCCTTCCCACAGAACTGCTCGCTCCCAACCGGCCCACAGGGATGGGAACTGGGCGCACAGAAACAATCTAAGAATCACTCTCGGTCCCAAAGGCCACCAGCTACTGGTGAGCGAGGTTTTCGGGCGCAGGGCTGCGGGGAGAGAGGCACCTCCTCCCACCAGGGCCGGCGAGGGGGCGATCAGAAACCAGGCCTAGGAGTGACTGCTGAAGAAATGAGCCTCTTCTCCCTGCAGTGGGGAGCACTGGCATTTCCTGCACTCGCTCTGATCGGAAAATGCCCCGGAACCTACACTCGACTCCATTCCCTCCTGGAATGCTGAAGGGAAGATTAAACCCCGGAACGGCTTCCTGCCCCGCGTACCCGCTCCATCCTCTGGCATTGTTAAGGAAGGTGCCCTCCAGCAGGAGGTGGCGAGCGAGGCCGGCACCAGGGTCCCGCCTGCGCCTCGCCGGCTCCGCAGCAGAGAACCCCCGCGCGGTCTGCGAGTAAAGTTGGAGCGGCAGCGGGGGCGCGGGCCGGGGCAGCCAGGCCGGCTGCGG